CCATGTCACTATCCTTAATGAAGGTGCACATAATGTGTGTGTATATATATATATACATATATATATATACACATGTTTCAAGTGCGCTCAGAAACCCATGAGCCTAAAATCAGTTCTAAAACTAACCGGTTCCTCAAATATTTACGGGGGTATCGGGTTCCGGCACCCTACCGCGATGGCAGGGCAGAGGCGAGCAACGAGGTGCGCGTCTCAGAGCTTCAGGTTTTAGGGGTTACGGCTTGGGTTTTAGGGTTTACTTAAACCCCCAAAAGTATGCAAAATAACGGCCCAAAACCTGTAAAAGTCCATTATTCTACACATTTGTGGGTTGCCGGCAGGGTTTACGGCTTGGGGTTTAGGGTTTCGGAATCAGAGTTTAGGGGGTTTTGGGACTTAGCTAGGAACACTTTTGGGTCTTAAATTCTTCGACTTCCTTGGGCTTCTTGTGGTAGGGTTTTAGGGTTTTAGGGTTTAGGATCTACGGTTTAGGGTTTAGTGTTTGGGGTTTGGAACCTGGAGTTCAGGGTTTTAGGGTTTAGGATTTAGGAGAGAGGGTTTAGTGTTTTGGGGTTTAGGGCTTAGGGTGTAGGGTTTAAGGGTTTAGGGGTTAAGGGTTTAGGGTTTAGGGTAGACATGTTGCAGGATCACACCCTGGCTTGGAGGGTCGGGGGACTTATTATTTTAGTAGCTATTTTATAGAGCTATAAGTACCATAACCCCAATTAGGATCCCTTTTAGGGTACTTATAACTCTACTTATGTCCTGCTTACTATGTCCCCCGACTCTCCAAGTGGGGTCTACAGATGGTTCCTGACTCAGTGTGCCTTTCATCGCATGTACACGTCTGCACCTGCCATCATCACCGGGACGGCAGTGGTTGAACATGCCCGGCAAACTACAGGACTCCTTTCAGCAGCCCTGACGTCGCGAGGAGATCTTGCAGAGAAATCGACGGCTGCAAGAGCAGGAGGAGCGTGACGTGCGATTCGCTGCCCGAAGTGGCCGCTCTTACCTCTGAGGTCTGAGGACCCGAGTCACGGTCGAGATCTGAAGAATGCGGTCATGGAGGGACTTCTAGGCACCCTGAAGTAAACATAGAAGCGTTTCCGAAATCTTGCGGTACCTTACTTTGGGGGTCCTTATAATAAAGATCCTACTATTTAGGGTACTATTAGGGTCCCCTATTTTCGCAAACTCCCATATAAGATAAGGGCCCATACTGTGGCGCATGGTTGCAGCCCTTCACATGATGCAGGGTTGAGGCAGTTTAGGATTAAGGGCCGCTGCAAGTCATTGATTTCTCCAGTACCATGCTATTTACTGTTTTGGGATTTTCCGAAGTTGAGAATAGAAGCATACTTCAAGATCTTCGTCATTCATCACATTGAGCAATATGGGGTTTGTTAACTTGTCTGCAGGATCTGGGACTCAGGCTGTGTTCCGTGCTTCACAGAGCCAGTTCTTGTGAGAATGTGTTTGGGTGTAGAGTTTAGGACTGCAGGGTCCAAGGCACAGGGCCTATGTGGGCGGGTTGTCCTAAACTAGAGTTCGGAGTCTGGAGAGTCCAGGACACACCACACCGGATAGAACTGCTGCAGGGGTGTCATGTTGCAGTGTTTCTTGTCCGTACACCCTCAGCCCTAAGACACCAAGCCTCACACAGAAACTCCAAAACGCCTTAGTTAAGGAAGATGCTGAGTATACCTACACCATTATAAGAGCTCCTGCACACATTAAATTTAAGTTTCAAGGAAAATAGCTAAAGCAGCTCAAGATATACTTACAAGCCCTATTATAAGCCCTAATCCCAAAAGCCCTAAGCCCTAAACCCCTCAAGCGATAACATTCCTCACTTGAGGGACTTTGAACTACAGACTTTTGGAGCCTCTGGGTAGGAGTCTGCCAGTGGCTGCTCAGGTTCACTTTGAGGGTCCTTGCCAAGGATCCATCTTCGGGTCTTTTGGGTTTAGGGTTTCTGGTTAGTGTTTGAGGGTTCCTTTCATAGTTCCTCCACAAGGCATCTTCCTGCAATAGGGCTGGGGAGTTTCGCCGAGACTCCAGTATCCCTTGACTAAGGAATATACCGTAAATCATATAAGGGATCCTACATCAATTCACGGTTATATTCCTTAATTCCCTTATAGAACCCTTTATAGAGCCCTTTAGGGATCCCTCAGGGGTAGATTCCTCAATTACGGGAAACTTAAATGGGAGTTTCCGAAAGATGTGGGTACCTTGTTTTGGGCTCCTTATAACAAGGATCCTACTATTTAGGGTACCATATTAGGGTCCCCCATTTTCGGAAACTCCCAAATAGTTGAAGTAAACCCTAAACCCTAAACCCTAAACCCCTAAACCCCTAACCCCTAAACCCTAAACCCTAAACCCTAAAACCTCTGGGCACGTCAGGCCATGGTTCCACTCGCCTGGCAGAGTGGCTTCGCTTTGCGCTCGAAGCGCAAGGCAAATGGGAGTTACCGAAAATCAGGGGCTCCTTTAAAGGGATCTCTCTATAAGGGCTCCTTAAAGGATCTATAGGGGTTCTATAACGGGTTTAGGGTTTAGAGTTTCCGAAAATTAGGGGGTACCTTATTTTGGTGGGTCCTTATAATAAGGGTCCTACTATTTAGGGTACTATAAGCTTCGGGTCCCCTATTCTCGGAAACTCCCAAAGGGAGGGCTGCGGCTTGAGGGCCCTAAACTGGGTTCTTGTTAAGGCGGTTTAGGGTTTAGGGGTTTAGGGTTTAGGGTTTAGGGTTTAGGGGTTTTTAATCTAAGTTACTATAGGGAAGCCATATTATGTACTATAAGCCCCTATTATGGTAGCTTAGATTCCGTAACAAGAACCCAGTAAGCCCTAATCCCTGAACCCTATAAGTTTTGGAGCTGAAGAGTTCAGAATGTTCCGCCGTTTAGGGTGTACCTTAACCTTTTTTAGGGTTCATTAATACGATTTCCTTTATAGGTCTCTAAAAAGGTAGGACATTCAGGGTTAAGGTAGGAACCTGATTAAGAAACCCTGGTCCCATAAGCCGGAAAATATTAGGACTCATACAAGGAACCCTAACAAAGGCCCAAGGTTTCTTAATCAGTTTCCCACATTATGGGTCTCCAGGGGTGTAGGTCGTAGGGCTTTAGGGATGGAGCATGAAGGATTTGGGTTTACGGCTTCAGGGTTTAATTCAGCGTTTAGGGCTGGAGGTTTTACCATTTTAGGGTTCAGGAAGGAACCCTTAAAGGAGCTCTACTAAATTTATAGACGCCTTCAAAGGATCCCTAAGCCTTGAACCCTAAACCCTCAAGGAGCCCTGAACCCGAAAACAATAAACCCTAAAACCCTAAACCCGAACCCACGCCTTTCCCCCCCGCCAAAAGAAAGCTTAAAGCCCTAACCCCTAAGCCCTCCACAAAAGCGGAAACCTTAAATCCGAAACTTTAGAGTAACCCTTATGTGAAGGAGCCCGTAGGGCCCCTTTCTTGAAAACCCCTCGGCTGTTTCTCATGAAGGTCCGGTGTTTAGGGCTTAGGGTTTAGGGCTTAGGGCTTGGGGTTGAGGATTTAGGGTTTAGGGGTTTAGGGTTTAGGTGTTTAGGGGTTTAGGGGTTTAGTGCTTAGGGTTTAGGGTGGAACTTCGTGTTCTGGTGTTTCGGTTTTGTATTTATTTATACTACGCAGTACGTGTTCGCCAATGAAATAGACCATGATATTTTGTAAGGGAGTATAAGATGAGGAAATATGATTTAGCATCGTATACAATGCAACCTACTTAGTACAAGACAACACCATGTAGTGCAATATAATCTGAAACATTAAGTTATAATATTATGACCTTGAAAAGTAGGGCCCTATGACCTCTATATTATGAATCCCTATACGGTCTTTGAGCCATAAACCCTTTTAGGGTTCATTTCGTCCTCAAGGTTAGGGTTGGGTCAAGGCCCAGGGTGTAGGGGTTGCGATGGAGGTTTGGGGTTTAGGGGGGATTGATCCAAAGTTGGAAGTATGGGCCCGTAATATGCACCCCTAGGCCTTTTTGAGGGGTTCCAGGGACCCTTAAGAGTCTAAATAGATACAAATTATATATATATATATATATATATATATTTCCTGTGGCCTCTAACGCTACTTAAATTTATGCTCGTGGATGGCTTTGCAAATTTCTGTAGCGAACTTCGTGTTTTAGGTACGTTCTGGGATTTCCGCACGTTAGAACAATAAGTGCTCGTAAGGATCCTGCAATTCCCAAAAGTGATCAGTTAAGCCTAACTATATACCAATCTTCCCCGAAATGCACCTCATCCCAAGCGCAAAACCCCAAAGCTAAGCATCCGGCCTTCCGGTCCCAATGCGAGCCGATCACACCCATATGCGCACACACAGACACACACAACTGCTGTCGACGCCGACCCGGACATCGGTTTTTTGGCAGCAGCGAGCTCAGCTTCGACCAGTCACAGGTCTTTGCACTTTACGAAGTGCCGTTTAAAGAAACGACGATAACTCACAAGTGTCCTGGATGTTGTCCTCATCGCAGTTAGTCGAGAGGATCCAACTCTACGACTAGTTCGGGAGATGCGCCCAATGTAGTCCTCGTCGGACCAGGTTGCGAAGCCTAAGATGATTGTGGAGGTTGATCATAGATTGCATTGCAGTAGTCTTGCAGCAAAGAAACAGCAGGGATTTAAAACGAATCCACGGGAGATGTCGGAATTGATCTGCTGATGCATTGTAGTCCTCGGAAGTGATTTGTGTGTGTGTGTGTGTGTGCGTGTGCACTCCTTGCGCTGGCCATGCAAAAGGAATCTCTACAAGCAAGCCAGGAAACACGATGTGGCCCACTAGGTGGACCTTCGGTCTGATTCTGTAAAGAACCATGTCATTCTCAGCAGCATTGCGTGCCAAAGCGCAGTATCCTTCCTTGGAAACGAGAAAGAAGCATCACCACATAGCATATGATTCGCGAAAGTTCAAACCTAGCTTAATACATGTATGCTGTGCAGTCAGCATTCGATCAGATTGTAACCATTCTGCACGGCAGTCCTCGCCACTTCCACCGGTATCCATGCCCCTTGATTGTAGATCGTGCGAAAGAAGCGATTCCCAGACTCCAGCGTAAAATGCAGGAGCTCGAGGGAATCAGAGAGACCCTCCTGATTGAAAGATCACCCAAGCCTAATCCTAAATTGTTTAGCACCCGGAGACGTGGACTAGGAAACACAGGAGAAGCGGAAGTTCTGAAGTTCTGATTGCACCGGCCCAGCTTAGCATTAGTATATACTTTGCGGGGTACCGGCAAAGCTATTGAAGGGCTTAGGGTCCAGGTGTCGGCGAAGCTTTTAAAGGGCTTAGGGTCCGAGGCCTAGTGTCGGGGGACCTATGTAACATGACACTTGCCCCGTAACCCTATACTGTTCTAGATCAAAGGGCGTGTAGGTTTAATTGTAGGCTGGGTGCTGGTCTCCGAACAGAAAGCTCATGCGCCAGCCATTTGCTGACCAAGGCGACATCATATGCCTTTCCACAGCCCACCGGCCATCGCCGTTGCCTCGGATGGACATTGGGTTAAGTGTAGGATGGTTTCAGGTTTTGGGGTTTAGGACAGGTTTACGGTTTACGGTTTCCTATTGCAAGGGGCAAGGTGCGACTTCATCTTGAAAGTTTTCTTGAGGTCGAACTCTTTGATGGAGCTGGTATAAGCATTGTTTTCACACCATGACATGAAGGCAACGAAAGCCTTCTCGAGTCGCAGTGGTATGGAGCCTTCACCGAAGAAACCAGCATCAGTAACGGCGATGACTCCTGATGCTGCTAGGTCCTTGCCGAATCCAAGATTGTAACAATGCATGATGTCAGGTTGTATCATCTCAGGCTTGTCCATGCCTGGGATATCACGGAAGGCAGCGTACTTTACTTTGAACGGATTTGGGATTGGGCTTGTCCATGTTCGCAACTGACTTGTCGGCCCGACGTCCCACCACTCCTAGGTGTATATTATGACATTCATGTGGGGAATTACCAGACACCTTACACATAGAAAGTGTGACTATCGATCAGCCAAGGCAACATCTCCAGGACAGCAGTGACACTTTCTCGTGCTTGAGAAACCAACAGCCAAATGGTACAACTTTCGTAGATACGGCCAGTCTCCTTTGGCCCCGACCAAAGCCACGCAGAAAGTTTTCATCTGTCCGTTCACCTTTGCATAGATTCGCAGATACTCACACCCGCGTAATTATTTACACAACAGCACCCGCCTTCAACCTCTTTCTCCAAACCCAGCAACCTTGGCCTCGATGTAACACCGTCTTAAGATTCAACCCTCTAGCCTTCGCCAAACCCGAACCGAGTGGCCTCGATGGTAACTCCTTTCTCAAAACAGGCTGTCAGGTCCTTGCTCAGGGCCTTGTGGAGGCCATCCACCGATTTGTCGCGCTTTGCATAACACTGTGAGGGCAGGATGCAGGCCAGTAGTCTCGTGGTATAGCTATGCCTCGGTTGCAATTGATTCAGGGTTTAGAAATATGTTTCGGGATACGTATCACTACCTGATACGAAGCTTTCATGAAGTTTGGGAAAGCCTAGGTGCCCAGCCATGTTCAGGTTGTCTTCACCACTCCACGGCAAAACAGGCTGATAGCTTTCCACCAGCACTGGATTTTTGCCTAGGCCCCTCCCCTCATCACCATGAACTGCCATGGGGATGCAATGCATCCGCTGCTCCCGGGTTTTCTCAAAAAAAACCGGGTGCTCTGGGTTCACGCATTCATACCGTTCCCAGAATCGTGCAAACATCGCAGTGTAACCCTTGGACTGATCAGTGGTCCAGCCTCCCAAGAGAAATTCTCCCCCATGTTCGAAGATACATTGCATCCAACTCGAGAGGTAGATCAGGGGATAGTGTGTTGAAAACTCACCACCACCCTTCTTTGGCCGGCGGATTGTAAGTCTGGTAGAAGAGATGCGTACCGGCAAAGTTTGTCCACTCGAATGCAGAAAATTATGTAGATTCCGAGCAGCATTGTGATAGTCCTTGCCGGTGGCCAGGTTCCCAATGCGTTCCAAGCCAGCATCGACGACACCTGTGCGGGGCATGGAAGGGACTAGAGTGAGGGTTTTGGGTTATCGATCCTATATGGGCTAGAACGGTTTTGGGGTTGAGTTCCGATATCGAAGGTCTTGAGCAAGGGGCTTGGAGACGAGCTTTAGGTGTTTCGGGATTATACCCCTCAGGTCTAGTGGAGTCTACGAAACTATGCATACTAGTAGTGTGGGGTTACAGGGCCTCCATCCTGATTCCTGAATGCAGCAGCACATCCCGCAAAGACCAGAATGCTGCCAAGATTATCGCTAAGTTGCTAGGTATCAAAGCTTTGAGATTTCTGGAGCAGCGCCGTGTAATCGTGTGGGTCCCAAATTCAAAATCCTCTGGAAGGTTTGAGGGTGCTTTAGGGGTTTCAGGAAAGGGCTTAAACAGAAAACCCGGCACCCAAACCCTAGTCAAGCTTAAGTACTACATATATATATATATATAGGACCCTGGGAGAGCCTTGTGAGAACCGCGATCGGATCACTATGATTATATCCTGCCTAGCTTCCGCATCCTCCGGGATGCAACTGCTGCGAACCGGACCACACTCTTGGCATCGGCCTGTGCTCCCCATACTTCACACGCAGAGTCTCTGTGAGATGATCGAAATGCATTCAAGCAGCCCCCTGCTCAACATCTCCCATCAGAGCAGCAACCAAGTCATCAGAGCCGGACTCCCCGTCACTAGGTGGACCTCAAAGCTACACGATTAGAACATGGTAACTCGACACTGCACAAATGCCACGAGTCTCAGGCCATATTCGAAGGCGGGATCGCGAGAACGCCGTTGCTGTTCGAGGCCTGTGCCACCAAACCCGGTATGTACTATAGCTAATATGAACAATCGTGCTGGCCACATCAGACATCAGACACTGAAAAGCAATCCGGTCTTTCCGCGCTACTCGGTTGGATCAGCGGGCAATCACGCTAGGTCGAATTTCCAGCATGATGCAATTTCCCTTGCATCTTCCCGGTCTTTTGGGGATCCTTTGGGCCTTAAGCAACAGGACCTTAAGCTATAGGTGTACATATTGCATGGTTCAATCAAGACCTACAGGATCGTCGGAACATGTGCCCTTGAAAGCGGGCACCCAAGCCACTAGAAAAGTGCAACACTCAGCACCCATCACTCATCATCATGCTTGCTCTTCTTATCCTTCTTGGCCCTTTTCGCCTTTGGCGACTTGGCATCCTTTTTTGGATTCTTTTTCGAATCCTTTTTGGTACCCTTTTTCGGCTTTTCGGCTTTCTCACTGGGGCTGGCCTTGATGTTCCTTAGATGCAGTATACTGGGCTAGGGATGGTATTTCGGGTTTATGCAATATTTCAGATAAGAATCTTGGCCCGGGTTTTGTAGTTGTTGAGCGTCACATCATCTTTTGTGCACTTCACGAAGAGATTCAAGATCTTCTGTTTGTTGGCTTCCAAGTTCCTGGGTCTGGACACAGCAAGACAGAGCAACGTAGGTACATCTCCTCAGCAAGCCTAACAGTACTAAAAGCCCAGGAGCTTCCCCTCAGTGTCCACTAGGACCTCGGCTTCCACCTCACTCAAAGCCTGATAGCTTGCATTCATGCTCGTCAAGATCGTCTGCATCTGGTCAGCCATCCTAAGCTGTAGGGGACAATGGTAAGCAGACGCATGGAAGAACGGTACCATGATAGATCTCACCGAGTGTGCAATCGAGAGTCATGCTTGCACGAGGCACAGAAGAGGCGGCCAACTTCTCCTCAAAATTGCATGTGTGAAACAGGTATAACTCTAACGTATGCATCAACATGGCTAGTGTTCAATCCTGTGCAGTGGTTGCAGCTTCAATCTTCTTGCCCAGCACCGACAGGAACGTAGGCAAGATGGAGACGGGGCTGTCGTTCTTTGCCAAAGTAGGGAACACCATCCTGGGTTGCTAGGTGTTTGCTAGTTTGGCAGGTCTGGGCTCATATAGGTTTTGCGAGTCAAGCTGCTTGCTGTTGCCAGATGCACTTGCCTCGGCGAGCTTGGCCGACTCGCCGACGTCCACCGTGCCTGGAACCCCAGCCGGTGTGTCCATGTCATCCAGCAAGAAGTTCTCTTCGTCCTGTGCAAACATGCATACAAGTACACACCGGGACACCGGTCAAGAGAGAATGGATTCATATGCACACCGGCGATGCCTGTAGTACGTGCCATGACACCATGTATATTTGGGACACATGCACACCCCACACACGCACACGCACCCATACGCATGCACATTGCAGATTGTTCGTATACTCTCTTAACCACCGAATCTCGGCCTCTTCATCTCACCCTCACGCTGAACCTTAACCTCACTCTCACTCTCAACCTCTCTCTCTCTCTCTCTCAGCTCTCTCTCAGTTAATTAGGCTAGGTCCGGGGTCTAGCTATATAGGGATAAGCTTAGGATGGGCCTCCAGCTCGGCCGAGCCCACAAGCTCGGAACGGTCACCAGTCTCGTTCTCCACAGCAAAAGTTTCCTCCAACACCAGCTTGGCCTCTTCAACTTTGTGCATGTCATTGACACGCACCAGCTTGCGAGCCGCTGCCCACTGGAAGGCATTGTCGGCCATCTGCCTCACGATCGGGGATTCGGACTCGTCAGCAACAGTGTCCTACGTATAACATATAGTGCTGCAGTCTAGCAACCGGGTGTAGGAGTATTTTTCCATAAGGTAAGCTTTGGTCACCCATCGACCAGCTCTGCCATCCTTCTCGACGTGGCTCTTGTATTTGGCCAAGTGCAGCTCAACATTCTTGAAGCAACCCTCTTTGATCAGCAGCTTACGAAGCTTCTCCCCTAGGATGCACATGCACACCAAAACTCCCGAACTGCTCTTCAGCTGACATGTGTGCATGATATCGGCGGTAGACAAGCTACTTCCATCCTCGGTATGCCAAAGCTTCAGGGCTTCCTTGGATGCCTTGGGCGCGCCATTGGTGGGCTTGCAGAACCGCCTCATCCTCAGAACACAGGAGCGATCTAGTAGGGTTAGGGTTTAGGCCTAGGCCCGGGGTTAGTACGTACAGTACACTAATCAGGAGGTCGTTAAAGCTTACAGAAAAAAGCAATCATGCATGAGAGGTTCTGGTGGTAGTACTTGTCAAACTTGTGGATCTTAACCTTGCTTGATCTGCTGTCCAGACTGTTGGTGCTTACGCCCCGTGACAACGTGGAACTCGGTGTCAGGGAATCCGTAGGGGAGCTCGGGACGGGAGTCTCAATCACCTTCGCATCCTTCTCGGGGATTCCTTCCACTGCCGTGGTGGTCTTCTTTGGGGTGGCCTTCTCGGGGGTTTCTTCCACTGATGTGGTGGTCTTCTTCGGGGTGGTCTTCTTTGGGCTGGTCTTCTTTGGGCTGGTCTTCTTCGGGTTGGTCTTCTTCGGGCTGGTTGTTTTTTTCGGGCTGGTCTTCTCACGGCCGCATGACTTGTTGGGGTTGGGCTTTGGCTCGGCAGTCTCAGTGGTTCCAGGCGGTGGATTCAACGCCTCGGCAGCTGCGGGCCCAGGCAGGGTCGGGGATTCCATCATGTCGTCCGCCCTCCAAGCACTGTCGAACGACAGTGCACGTCGTGGGTTGAAGGGCTCATCGATCTGGGTCTCCGGTACAGCGGTAGCATTGCCTGCGACAAACATTCCCCCAGCAGCAGCAATCGCAGGGGCTCCTGGATATGCACTCACGATCCGAAGCTTGACCTTATCACGAGCTAGCAGAAGTCCTGGAACCGAAACAGGTGGTGCTGCTGACTGCTTATGGTGCTTCTGGAGCCGGCTCTGTAGCGCAGCAATGCGCTCGCGAGAGGCCTGGGCAAGGCGAGTAAGGTTGGTCTGGAGTACGGTACCGGGGTTAGGGTCTTAGGCCTAGGCATTATTATAAGATCGGGTGTTGCTACCGATTCATGCAAGTAGCAGCAATCATTGCTGCAAGATCGCTGGGAGGAGCTGCCATCGCGGAGTTGGATCGAACTAGGTTACCTACCAAGGAGACCCCCTCAGCAAGTGTAGTGCAAGAGGCCGTTCGGGACAGCATGCTACCAAAGGTGCTGAGTGCCAGCTCTAGCAGAATATGTGCATTCACAACACGACACAGGACTTCAAACACAACACTCTACAAACAGAACGCTCCACAGGATGAAAGTTCAGAACTCCTCGATACACTTTTTGGATTTGCGCTCGTTTGCGCTTTTTTGCGCGGATTTGCGCGCATTTTGCGCTGAATTGCGCACGTTTCCCGGCCCCCCAAACGCACCAAAACGCACGTGGCCTCCTAATTTTAATAATTTAAGATCTCAACCCGAAAATCACCCACAGACGGTTGTGTCCATCTGCACCAGCTCATTGTAGGCCAGCCGGTCTCGCTCCGGCACAGAAACCTGGGATAGGCTAGGATCTGGCTTAAGCCGAAACCTTATGACAGGGTTCGGGCTTATATTATAGTTCTACTGCTACTGGCTACTACTACTCTTCTTCTCTATACTTACTACTCAAGTACCACCCAAAGCCACCACCCACCCCACCCCACCCCCACCAGCCCCCCGCCCCCCCCAACCCCCCACACAAATCGAAATTCATGCTTCTTGCCTCCTGACGACAGGAGGGCAGGGGCCGAGCATCATGCGCATCAGCCCTCCGCTCCCCCCTTCCACCCGAGCTTGTTTTCAATCCAAACGAGGAGTGTCTCTCGTTTGGGTTGGTGAACCACAATCGAAATTCATGCTTGTTGCCCCCTTACAGAGGGCAGGGCCGAACATCATGCGCATCAGCCCTCCACTCCCCCCTTCCAACCGAGCTTGTTTTCAATCCAAACGAGGAGTGTCTCTCGTTTGGGTTGGTAAACCCACCCCTACGAACCCAAACCGACCCCACCCACCCACCCACCCACCCACCCACCCACTGATGCTCATGACGCCAGCCCACCCAGTCCCACCCAAGCATAGAGCAGTGTAGTATAGCGGGGCCCAGTAGGGGGCTATGGGTTCACATTCGCATCTTGGGTGTCATTCCAGGCCGGGGTTCCAACATAATCCACGAACCCAAATTAAACCTGTACTCACACGATCTCGTTGCTGTCGGAATTGCACGATCTATATATATATATATAAGCTGCTGCACTACAACTTAACACAACTACGAGGTGGTTGTGTTTCGTACGTGTTTGCGGAAGCAAGGGAACACAACCGGCAGGGAAAACAGCTTTGCCGCAGTTCAGGATCTATGGATAGATTTAGGCCTAAGACCGGGATTCGGGTTTAATATGTTCATACAGGGGTTTGCGTTTAAGGGGGTTTAGGCTTCTAAGCTTTAGCTTTATGCCTGGAAGAGAGATTAGATTAGGGTGTAAGCGAGCCCCGAACACCATCAAACCAAGCTTCCATCTCCATGACCTCTTGGTCGAAGGCTGCGATTGCTGTCTGCCAGCTATCTGGGATCTTCAAATGTCGGTTGCTCAGGAGATAAGACCATACTTTAGGAAGCTGCGCATCAAGCCAGATGTCCCCAGTAGGCAATTCCTCCCATAGTTTTCGGTCCGACAAACTAAGATCCACCGAACGTTTGTGTCGTAGATCTGCTGGTGGGTACCCGCGATTGTTGTAGCACTCCAGCAATCGTTTGCAAAAGCCTTCGGGGTATGACCTCGGCTGGTAGTTTATTACATAGCGAAGCATACAGGTACACTGTCCACTGGGGTTGCCGCTGTGTTTCCTTGACCCTCTTGTTGCATTGGAACTTTTTCACTCCATCCGAAGCAGTCCATTGACCTCGCGTGTGCAACAACGATGCTGGAGACCATGCATATGTAGATCGCATGCACTATGCGAACTAGCTCTGCAACTGTAAGACCCCTGCGACTGGTTTTGAATTTCGTTGCCCTCTCTCGCACCTTCTTCGTTAATTTTCCAAGGTCCAGCCCATTAACCCATGCCCCATTCGAAAAGCACACCGTGCGCTTCGGTGTGGAGCCGCCGTGGAGCAGCATCCAGAAAGTCACTTTCCATACCTGGGATGGGAATGGTGTATGGCAGTTGCTACTATGACTTTATTGCAGTAGCGGTACCCAGCAGAGGATATTCACGAAGTGCTCCCATCTAGGATGCCGCTGGATCAGTGATTGTGAGGGGTGTTCCAGGACGAAGTAGCAGTGCCGAGCACATAGAAGAAGACAAACCAAGGTTGCCCTGGGTACCCACTACAAAGCACACGCCAGAATCACCTACACATTTGCCGGAGGTATCACAACTGTCAGCCAAGTTTCCGAGATATAGTAATATTGGAGTCATTCACCCACTTCAAATGAACCGCACCGAGGCTGTTCATGTAGTTCCGTTGGCTTGTGCCCCGGGCTGGAAGGCCCCAACTGCTGCAATCCGGCCCCATTAGGCATACTGATTCTGGAAGAAGACACAGAACAGTGTGAAGAACAAGCCTAGGATGGGTGCAGCCACATGATTTCGGATCATGCATGAAACGATCGAACACACACTTGACTCATTCAGGCTGGTAGCGCATAGCCTGCAGGACTGAGGAAATCCATGACCCTTATGCGATGTTCAAAGTCCTTGTCGAATGCGAACGGACTGCGATGCCTTGTCAAGTTCTAAGGTGTCACTATAAGAGCTGTGAGCAAGACCGTGTAAAGTGCAAGAGAAGGGGGCACGCTACGCGTCCCTCGACTCTAGGGGGCATGCTACGCATCCCTCATCTTTACCTTTCTATGTGACCGCCAACGCAACGTTTGGCTCAAGTCAATGCCCATAGCTAAGTGCTATATGTGTCTTCTATCCTGAGCAATCAGAGCTATCCCGTTGCACAGACGAACCGCCGCCGGCAGTGAGTGCAAAAGGAACGGCCGCCGGTTCTGCCTGCATAGGATTGCACGTGTGGAAGTAAGAGGGAGAGACAGGGTCCAGTCTGTGGAGAGTGCTAGCCAGCCACACCTACATTCATTACAGCTCTGGTGGGGAGAGCAGCAACCAAGTCGAGATCAATCCCCCACGCAGGTTATCAGCCGTACGCGGCTCTGCCTTTCTACAGCAACGACTACTTGATCTACTACGACCACAATGAACTCAGGATCAAGCCAAGATACGACAATGACTTTCGGTGCCGATGTGGCAGCGCCAGCCGTTGGTGAGTCAACAGCTGATGACACAGTGGTGCAATCCGTTGATAGCTCCACGGAAGATGACAAAGGTCAATCTTCTGCGCTTGCCATTGCAAAGGCAGTTCCCAAGGGGAAAGCAAAGAGTCTACCAAGAGCATCTACGCCTTCGCGTCCGACATCCACAGGTTCGAGGACGGGCAAGGCTTCAGAACGACGGGCCGAAGCGTCTGGTTTTCAGGCACCTCGGACTACGTCCAGGGCCAAGGACAAAGGAGTCAAGACCTTGGAAAAGAAGTCAAGACCATCATCTTCGAGAAGCTCTTCAGCACGATCGAGGACTTCGGCTACTCGTGGGCGTGACAAGTCCATGACTTGGAATCGGATGGTTACCAATCAACCACGCGATGCTGACGATCTGGACATGACTCTGGATACGATTCCTGCGCGTGGTGATGCGTCATCCGTGGCTACGCCTGCAATAGCTGATGGTCCGAATGCCTACCAGGAACTGACGATTTCGCAACAGTTCGAAGCATCGAACCTTGCACAGCAGATGTACTATCGCAGTCAGGTGCAAGAATACGAAGGAATCGTCCAGACCCTGATGGACAAGATCAAGGAGATGCAACAAGAAGATGAAGGATCTGGAATTCGCATTGAAGAATTGGAACGACAACGTGACCATGCATGCTTAGCCATGAGGCACATCAACAATGTCAATCAGGAGATGAAGCGAGACTATGAAACAGCTTTGTTTCGCATGGATGAGCAGAACTCTGCTCAACAACGTCAAGCACATGCCGTTGCCGAGGAGTTAGCTCAACAGCTACACGTGTTCCGCACGGAGGCAGCCACCAACTTTGTGCAGTTGGAGGCAAGAGCGCAAGGCGATGGTGAGCTTATGGCACGTGAGTATGAGCGTCTGACTCATGAACTTCATGAACACGCCAGAGAGAACTTGGTCCTCCGGTCAAACACAGCAAGTTCGGAACAAGCCTTACAAGCAATGCAGGAACGATTCCACTTGGTCAAGAACCAGGAGTTGCGGGCTGTGAACGAGATCCAAGGGCTAGCTGGAAACAGCGCAGCCATTGAGCAAGAACGATTTCGGCTTCGCGAACGTCTTGGTGAAGAGGAAGAGTACCGCAAAATGGCTGTGAAGAGGATGCAAGAAGCAGAGGATCGACTTCATCATAATGAAGATCACGCAAGGCGATCATTGCCTACCTTGCACGACGAGCTGAGTGAACTCAGGAAAACGCTCAAAGCACAAGAAGATCTTCAAGCGAGGACACGCAGCGAATTGGAGGCAGCGCGAAACTCCAATCAAGGAGGAGCGACGCGACCTTCGAGCATGCCCATGTCTTCGAGGACTACTGAGTCTGGCTGGGAGCACGTAGGAAAGGAAGTAATGCCTGCATTTTCCGTAGGAGATGAGGTACGATCCCCTGAAATACGGTCCCCAAGTCAAGTTAGTCCAGTCGCCAAAGAGAAGTTCGCATTCTCGGAATCGGACAAGGACAAGAACCTTGTGATGGATGGAATTCCATTCACCGGTGGAAACTTCTTCACTGGCCGCAGTTCAATGCCAATCGTGGCGGATGCAATGCCCGAGCACTACGTGCCAGGTATTAGCAGTCCAGCACTTGCGCGTTCCACGCCTAGTGCAGCCACTTTGTTCGGCATACCAAGCGGATTTCATGGGAAAAGTGATGCGGCAGCCGTGCGTGACCGACAGCTACGCGAACTCTTGGGGGATCGCGGGATGTTGGGATCGAAGTCCACAGCATCGGCCAGCTCCTCAAGACCTGTTGGTATCGATGGTGTTACCGCATCTACGAAGGGCAACGACCTCGTTGGTCCCCCTGTTGCCTATGACGATTCTATCCATGAGGCAAGGAGGCGTCAGATCGAGAAAGAGATCGCGGAACAGTACGAAGAGAAGATGGCTGATCTGCGAAGTGAAGTACTCAAGGCTCAGAAAGCCGAACAACGTCTCAGAGCCGATCGTGATGAGTGGAGATTATTCGCTGAAACGATTCAGGAAAACCATGGAGACGATGACGGTGATGAAGCTGGCGACGAGAACGGAGAGGACGAGCATGATGAAGGAACCGGCACGGGGTATGACCCTCCAGATCCGCCTGATGATGATGATGACAAGAAGAAGGGTGGAGGGGGTAAACCTGAATCGGATCCTGGTTCGCACGCACGTGATCCTGACGGAGATGCGGATCCTGAAGTCACAGAGGTGAGAATTTCCAGGAGGGAAGCCGACAAAGTGACCGTTCCTCCATGGCCTACTCTCACTCATCTCAACAACTGGCGATCCGTGTGCACGGCCAATGTCTTAGGGGCATCAGCCGACCCACATCATGAGGACTGGATGTTATGGCTGGCACCAGCGTTCAACCCATTCCCTGATGTCGAAGCATTGAATGATTCAGGACACAAGAAGTTCAAGAGCATAGACGTCAAATTGGGGATCGCCATGGTCGCAATGCTACGTGCCGGTGGTGACAAATCAGCTGACCTGTACCTCGAGGTGAACCGGAAGGCCAACGATTACATCAGCAGGCCTGACGTGAAGATCATCAAAGGACGACAAGTCATCGCGATGATGTATGAAAGTTTTCGAACGCATGATCGTCTTGACATGATCATCACTCTTGAGTATTTGGTGAAGCTCCAGTACCAAGGCGACAACAAGCTTCATACGTTCAAGCAGACGTGGTTGGAAGTTCTGGGACGGATGAGACCAGAGGACATTCCATCCAAAACAGCTCTCCGTGATTGCTTGTACAGCAAGATCAAGGACTCGCCCGCAATGAAGATGGAGTTGGGCATGCATTACGAACACTTGCCCTACAATCATGAAGACCGATCGTACGACAACCTGATGAAGATCATTGATCGTACTATCATGCGGAGACGAGAACAGTCAAATCTCACTCAGACCCAAATTGGCTTGCGCCAGATGCTTGAGGGCAAGGATTTGCTTGCTGCACCGGCCAAGGTACCCGAGAAACCTACGCCTAACGCAGCTCCATCCGCAAAGGTCAAGGCTTCGCCGACCAAACCGGATAAAGCAACACCTGTACTACCTCAAAGCAAAGCGAAGAGTCATGCGAAGACCAAGCCAAAGCCCAAGAAGAAGACGAGGAGTGAGTCAGCGGACAACAGAGGTGACAAAAGCAAGAAGCAAATCCGCTGCAAGTTCCATTTCACAGATGCAGGGTGTCGAAATGGCGATAAGTGTCCATTCAGTCACTCGAAGAAGACTCCAGAGCGACCCTTCACGCCGAGGACGAGAACTCCAAGTCCATCTGGAGGAGGAGGAAACAGGATATGCTACTCGTTCAAGAACACAGGCTCGTGCTCAAGAGAGAATTGTCCTTTTAAGCATGAGGCAGCAGCTACCCCAGCTCCGGAACCAAAGGCAAAAGCTAAAGCTAAATCCGAAGCGAAGGCAGCTCCAGCGAAGCCGAATGCCAAGGCCAAGGCACTCCCTGCGGCACCCGCCATCAGATTGTGTCGAAGGTGGAATCCATCAGCTCCGGCTATATGGAAGCGATCTTCAAGACAAGATGAGGAGGAGTCAGATTGTCCATCCGTTGACAGCGACGCTGATTCGGATTGTTCAACAGATGACGAATCCTCGGGAACGACTACGTCGACCCGAAAAGTGATAAAGCGCAATGTGACATTTGCCAATGACGTGAAGTTCATTTCTTCGTGTCCTAGAAGATCGAAGAAAGACAAAGAGCGGAAGGTGAAGTACGTCGACATGGAAGCGTTTATCAATGATGAGGATCGCGCCGTGAGCTTGGAATTCGCCAAGCACAAAGCGAGATTGAGGGCACAGATCATGAGAGACATGGTTGACGACGATGATGATCAATGTGGGGAGATTTCATTCGTACGAATCCCAGGAACGTCTCGAGTGGAAGAAGTTTCGTTCTACGACGGTGAAGATTCCATCGT